AGATGTACATTTCTTCAGTGTATTATATTTTTCTGAAAAGTATGGAGGAAAATCAGTAAACACTATAAAACAGGTAAGTGTGAGGTAGGATTTATCCTGATGAGAACTTGTCCTCATGCAATTATTCCAACCACCACTTTAAAGTACACCAAAGGGTATACATAGGTCTAAGCATCACCTGTGCATTTGATGCTCTATTATATTACTGATATTGCAGTATTCTGATATATTGAGGAGATCATGTATGTAAGTGACAAAATGTATGAAATTAAGGGTATCTTATTGATTTCTTTGAAATAAAGAGATAATGGAGTTTAATATGTTTATAATCTCTTGGAAAATGAATGGATGATGAAAATAAAGAAATGAGCTAGGTAAGGTGGTGCACGCCTGTAATCCCAGCACTCGGGAGGCTGAGGCAGGAGGATCTTCTCAAGTTCGAGACCAGCCTGGGCTACAAAGTGAGCTCAAGACCAGCCTGAGCTGAATAGTGAGACCCTGTCTCAAAACGACAAAAAAAAACCCAAAGAGATGATGGTGTTTAATGTGTTTATAATGTCTTGGAAAATATTATCATCAGTACTCTTTTACAGTTGAATCCAGAGATAGGATTATTAAAAATCACACAGTTTCATAAGCCTGAGAAAATATTTGGAAATCATAAGTGACATCTATTAAGAGAAAAACTTTAGACAAAATACATTTGGCAGAGTTTATTTGAGCATTCAGACAATAATGAATTAAGTAACACTCAACACCAGAAGAGGTTCAGGGAGATCTGCAGCAGCATGGACGGTGAGCTGGATGTAGAAGACAGATCTTTGATTGGTTACAGTGAAAAAAAACCTTAACTAGAGATAGTTGGCCATTTCTGATTGGTAAATTATAAGTATCTGGTTTCATTTTACTACTTAATCGGGGCTTGTTTCCTTACACAAAAATGCAACGTGCCAGAGATATAGCTCAGCAACATAAGTCCCTGCTTGGCAATTGCAAGGTCCTGAGTTTGATTCCCAGTACCAAAAAAAAAAAAAATTCAAAGTACAGGAGCTGTCTCACCCTAATAACCTCCCAAGTAAAATCGTTATTAATACATCTTGTTTTTCCTCTTTTGTGGATGTGAGTGTGTGTATGTTTGTGTTTATGGTGCTGGGGATTGAACCCAAAGCTTCAGCTTCAGTGGATGCTCTGCCACTGAGCCACACCCTGGGCCTATTCTTTCTTTTTTTTTTTTTCTTTTACAGTTTTTGAGACAGAGTCTCGCTATATAGTTCAGGCTAGCCATGAACACTATGTAACTTAGGCTGGTCTTGAAATCAAAGCAGTCCTCCTGCCTCAGCCTCAGCCTCAGGCTCCCATTTGCTGTGAGTACAGGAGTGTGCATCATCCTCTTATTTTTTTTGTATTCATTATAAGTTTAAGATTTCAGTGTTTTTAATCACCTTGACATCAGAAACAAGATGAGGTACCAGGCCTCACTATTATCATTCAACCTTGTGGGTAAAACCTTAGGCAATCAAGTAAACAAGTCAACAAAAGATGTAAGCATTTGAAGTAAATGGACAGTAGTGGAATTTCCAGATACAGCAGTGTTATACTGTACGTTGGATAACAAGAGAATAATGAGAATAACCTGAAGAATTACTAGAACTAAGGAGCTCTGTAATATGATCAGATACAAAAATCAATAGTATTTCTGTATAATGGTAACAAGAGTTTGGAAAATATGATTTTAAAATGCTGCTCACACCAAAAAACTATACAGCAGCAGGAATTTTATAGTTAAAATATGCAGTGTCTATGGTAAGAAAACTGTAAGATTTTACTTAAAGCTATGAAGACCTAAATAAATTATAAATTCAATGACAATCCAAACCTTAATGAGATTTCCATAAATTTAGGGGAAATTTTTTTTTGTTTTTGCTTTTTTGAGACAGGACCTCACTATGTAGTCCAGGCTGGCCTCGAACTCACAGCAGTCCTCCTGCCTTAGCCTCCCAAGTTCTGGGATTAAGGTGTGTGCCATCATGCCTGGCTCCTAAGAAAAAATTTTTTTAAATCATCTACAGTAGAATATAAGAATAGCCAAAAAAATCTTTGAGATCAACATGTTGGAAATAAAGATATTATAAAATTATAGTAATTAAAAATGTGAGTGTATATACTTATCAGAAATATTATTATATATTTACTTTTTTAAAATGTAAAGTGCTATAGCATCACTGTCTGTAGATCAGTTTTGGTATCCATCCTTATGGAATTAAATCTTCCAATCCATGAGCATGGTATAGCTCTCTGGATCTCTTTTTTCACCAAGGTTTGGTGGTTTTCAGTGTACAAGTCCTATACTAATTTTGTTAAATTCTAAGTGCTTTATTCTTTTTGGTGTTATTATAAATAGAATAGTTTTATTAAATTTGTTTTCAGATTGTTGATTGCTAGTATATATAACTATGTGATTGATTTTGAACATATAGTAGGACATTATCTTACATATAGTAGGACATCAAACTTGCTGACCTCATTAGTTCTAATAGTTTTGGGCTGGGGATTTAGCTCAGCAGCACAGCGCCTGCCCGGCAAGTGCAAGGGCGTGAGTTTGATTCCCGGTTCCAGAAAAAAAAAATTAATAGTTTTATAATGTTTTCTTTAGGATTTTTTTCTTTAGGATTTTCTACATAAAAGATCATGTCATCTGTAAACAGAAATAGTTTTAGTTCCTCATGTCCAATCTAGATGCCTGTTAACTTCTTTTCCTGGTCTAGTTGCCTTTTTTGTAGGAATTATAACATTTATTAAAATAATGCTATGGGTTAACAGAAAGAGCAAAGAGCCAAAGAATTAAAATGCAAGCTATATCGAACGGGGAGCCTCGGGCGGGGAGTGCCCGTCTTCGGACCGGCGACTCACTCCCAG